GTTCATAGAAATTTCTGTTTAATTAGAACCAAGTATTTGAGTTGATGATTGTAATTTTTATACCATGTTGTAATTTGTGTTTCAACAATTTTTTGATTAACATCAATCAAAAAAATTGTTCTCTTTTTTATTTGGGCTACTTAAATTTATTTTGGGCTACCAAAGACTGAAGAGTCCCTGCCCGAAGGGCTACCAGGGATTTTGAAATTTTGCGAGCCCTGAAAAAGGAAAAAAAAATAAATTACCTGTGTATTATTTATAGCACTATACTCAGGGGGTTAAGGTGACATTCAGAACTGTGTTTTTGCTTAATAAGCTGTGGTCACTGTATTTCAGCATCTAGCTAGAACTGCAGAAGAGGAGCAAGCATAAAAGGGATGATGCAGAGGGTTGGTGTGATGCTAGGGATAGGATGACATGGAGAAAGATGGCGACTCCTGAAGGGAGCAGCCAGAATAGGAAGAGCTTTGCACTCAGAAATGAGGATATTTAATACCACTTAAACTGTAGTGTCCGGCCTCTCTGTGAGGTCAAAGTCATGAAGAGTGATGAGTCATGACCCCACATTTGAGAGAAAAGTACTTAAAAAATATATATATATAGTTTTTCTCCCCCTTGTTGATTAGAACTTTTATTTTCTTTGGTTTACAGAATCGCCCAGTAAGAAAATGGTCCCTGGCTTGATCCCAGGAGACAAATCCCTTTGGGGTTTCATCAGATGTGTTAATGCAGGGAGCAGCCGAAAGTAGCTTTATTCACTTATTGCCAAGACTAAATGTTGAAAGTCAGAAATAACATACTCAGCTTAGCGCACTGAGGGTTAAGTTACACCTCACAGGATTAAACTTAACCTCCTGCAGGCTTTCCTAATATGGCTGATAATTTCCCCGATAAACTACAAAAGCTGTCACTGTGTCATAGGTACATGAACGCTGCCAAGATGGGAGAAGATGTTCTCATCACCGCTCAGGTTCTGAAACAGGGACGGAGTCTGGCGTTTGCCACAGTGGACCTCACCAACAAGGTTACAGGGAAGATCATCGCACAAGGAAGACACACCAAACATCTTGGCAGCAGCTGAATCTTCTCCACTCTGTATCTGTCTGTAGTGTCAAAGCAAGAGTGACGATGTAAACAGCTTCTCTCTGTCTGTAAATAAGTTTGTAATAACAAGAATCAGTACTTCAGTGGTGGGTGTCAACGCTTGGGCTACGAGCTGGTGGTTACTTGATGTTTATTTCCTGCTGTTAAATATTTGCCAATAACTTAAATTGACCCCTTGTGATTGAAAGACTGTATCAATGATTCGTGCGCATGCAATAAAAGCAAATGGACAAAGAGTGATGCTTTCAGAATTTGCACTGTATTGGGATATGCTCAGCAGTATTGATTTGAGAACCAACAGAGAAAAAACTCCAGAAGTTACACGCCTTACATCCTTTTAAAGTGAACACACTGAATCAACAAGGAGCAAAATTATATGTGCGTAATATTCTTTGACAAGCAAGCCTGCAAAACCCAATTTAATTTGATGAGCATGGTGGCAAATCATCTAACTTTTAGTAGGTCAAATAAAAATAACAGAATTAGCTTTCAGCAACTTTTGTTAGGTATGTTAAACAATAAATGTCGCCATTTCAGTTACTCACCAACCCACATCCCCAATAAAACAAACATAAAAACATCATTTCAGTAGCTCAATGGAATAGTGCTTGAACAGTGAACATGACCCTCAACGTCTAACCAACTTTGTGTGTATAACACCTTTCAAGTCACTCAAGGTTTTAGCGAAGGCTTGCCTAGCATGTTTCAGAGGAAAGCAAATGACACCAAACCATCTTTGAAAGTCCAGCAAAATAACTAAGGCTGTTTATAAGAAGCGATACCTACACCATATGATTTGACAGATACTGTTCATCTCATTATCTCTTTGCTTACACGGGTGTTTAAACACCTCTCCACACCTGTCCTCGGTCACAAGACTGCGTAAAGTTGTTCTAGACACCTGCGTGACATTACAAGCTTTAACAATCATTTCTTATGACAACAAGGATATAAAACGCGTCCATGTGAGAACCACCATGATGACCTGTGTATTGTTTGTTCCTGTTCTGATGCAACATAAAGAGTTCCTTCAATGACCGGTGCTGTTGACAGTGCAGCTCCAAGAGAACAACCAACCACTCAAAATCAATGTTCGTGCAGGTTCAAATGAACAAAAATAGGTGAGTGAGAAGCAGGGAATGAGGAGGAAGTGGAAAAAAAGGTGAGGGATAAATCCAAAAATGGTAGGGAGAAGAGGGGTGGGGGCACACTGGGAGCATGAGGCAGAAAAAAAAATGAAGGATGGGAACTCAATCAGCTTCAGGTCAGGGAAGGTAGAACGAGTAGAAACAAAAAAGGAGATCCAAGCATAAGTTCACATCTTAAAGGGAAAAAAGGATGGAGATGAGTACATCAATTTGCTTCTGAAGGCTTAGGCAAGAGGAAGGGAGAAAGGCTTTTTTTTTCTTTTTCATTCCCCCTCCGTGTGGCTGGGTGGAGCAAGAAGCCTTAATCAGGCATGTAAGGGCGGAGGTGATCCTCGATGTCTCCCACACCCCAGCAGGTCAGCTGGTCCTGGGGCAAGTACAGGCAGAGGCTGCACAACTTGAAAACTGTGGCCTTGGTTTTAGGAGTCTGAAAGAATGTGGACAACATTTGTGATAAAGTGTGTTAACAAGACCATTTCAGGGTTTTTTCCTCCTCTTTTTAGGAGAATTACATTTTATTTTCAGTGATGCGACATACCTGTAAGTGCTGTCTATCCATGAAGAGAAATACAGACTGAGTTGGGTTGTTCATGACCATTCCAGCCTTGTCTTTACGACCCAAAGCATGCATGCACTGCTTCTCGTAGTCTCCATGATGAAATTCAAACTTGGCCTGTAAAAAAGACAGACTTAAGAACTAAGGACAAAGTTTTGTTATGTAAAGTCTCAGTTTCCCAGACACAGATTAAGCCTAGTCTCAGGCTACAAACTCGCAGTGTTTCGTGTTAGTTGAGGACTGAACTTCATACATATCTGGGAAACTGGCTGCAAAATTGAATTTGCTGATAACATGCTTTTTTTTTTTTTACTATTTAAAATTGCTACACTGTGCAGGTGATTTCAAAAATATATAGTGTACACAAAGATATTTATAACTTTCTATAGTTCTGACCAAACCTAAAGTGCTAAGGACTGACCTGAACAGGCCTAAAGGGTTCATCATCGGCCCCCTTCCATCTGGAGAACAGCAGACAGACGATCTTCTCAATATCGTTGCGTGGCCATAGGATAAAATCCATTTCCTGAGTGCAGCCTATCACATCCTGTAAAAACACAGACAGCTAACATGACACAAAATGTTTACTTTTCCATACACTCCCCCTTTCAAATGGTATTGTGTCTCACCCTTCGCATTGACTGGTATCGGGGCGCGTGTAGTTGCACAACGTCTTTTTGCAGGAGCTCTATTGAACTCTCGAGAGAGTAGCTGGAATCGCGCACACCTCGTAGGATATTTTCTTCATAGTTGTTGGTCATCACTGGCACAACTTCGGCTACCTCAAAAAGTGCTGACTTCTTCTTCTGTAATGAAAAAAAAGGGAGGGGGATATTTTAAGGCATTGCTTTGGTTCTACAATGAGGAACAAACATGAGTGGACCTGTAGTGCTGGCAAACCTTTTCTTTGAAAACGAAGGCTATATAAATCTTGAAGTCAAACTGATCAGCCAAAGATTCCCTTTTCTTCCGAAGTTGAGCTCGAAGTCGATTTCGTGTTTGATTTCTGCGTGAAGTTGGGTCCCCCATGGTTGGATTTCGATGGTAGTGTCTTCTCCTCTTCTGCAGTATATTTTGGCTACACTCTCTACTTTCTGTTTGATAAAGGATGGAGCTGGCTACCCTTTGCAGAAACAACGCATCAAAACTCTAGGCTAAATCCTCAGTATACCAACTACGAACTTAAAAGGTCATAAAAATCTTAAACAAAACTAAGTCATTTCGATTGTTTTGTTAAAAAAAAGGGCAGTGTTGAGGAGGGGGGGAATGGTCGACAAGCTAAGACTACATCTCCTTTATGCTTGATCAGAAATCCATGTTTTAAGACATGACTTTCAAGGACCGTGAGCTTCGTTTTTCAACCTGCCATGGAGGGATTACAACAAAGATTTAAATTAAAACAGCAACTCAAATGACTCAACTTTTTCCTCCTATAGATGGTACTGAAATCAGCAGAAAGCGCTGCTGCAAAAACCCATATCGCTAGTTTTCTGCAATTGAGATTGTGGACTACAGCAAGCAGACAAATATTCTATCGTTTGGGTCATTTCAAAGTCCCTCATCCATGGCTGTCTTTTTGCTTCCGTGCAGACACTGTTATGTGCGTGTTATAGACGGACTGGGGATACAGACGAAGATGGCAGGTAAACACAGATGCCAGGAGATATTGGCACCGGGTAACATCGAAGACTACTGCGAAAGTAACTTGACATTTCCGTGACTTTTACTGCCACTCATTTGGCCCAGAGCCTGTGTCGTTGCTGCCACTGCCGATAGTCATGATGTGGGCGTATTTTTAGCACACTAGCTAAGGTGAGCTAGCAGGCTAATCTAGGCATTCACTTCCGACACTAACTAGTAGTGAACCAGCGATATAGCTACATCTTATCATCTGACTGATTGGCTTAATTGAGGCCTATGTGTGATCACCTAGCTTAGCGTACAGTCATCTTTAAACGCGTTTACATTTCCCCCACCTCCTCGGCTCAATGTGACTGCCAGTGCTGTTTGAGTCTAAGAAACCTGCGGGCTTCACTCACTAACCGTTTACACCATTTTCGCTAAATGTAATGTACTTCAGTCGTGCCTTGTTAACTACTTCATCGACAAAAAAACAGAACCAGCCCAGGGGAATCAATTATAGCCAATCAACGACAGTAGTTGAATGGCGAAATAATTGTTAGCTAAACAAAAGAAATCAACCCCCCGCTTTCCACGTCTGAAGTTTCGAGGTGTTTGCTGCGCTTGTTTTCTTTCTCTCCTTTTCTTCAGTCGTCACAACCTCCGGCTCGCCCTGCCGCATGCCATGTCAAGATAAATCGACAATCCAGCTCAAGTCCTCCGTTCTTTCAGTCGACATGTGGAGTTTTCTGTCTCCCGGCGGGCCCATATTTAACGACGTGTCGTCCAACGTTTTTTCCGTTTGGTTTCTTTGTTTGCGTGTTTTTTTTTTTAGGTAGCTAATAATGGCACATACAAGCTAGACGGTCTACAGCCTCCCCCAAAATGGCTGCACAGTCAACTACAAAGATATGACGTGCCTTGACATGTGACCGCACGAGGGGAAAAAAACAACGGTGCAAAAAAATAATTCTTTGTGAGCATGCGCCTCACTGGCCTCTTGCTCACGTGACGGAGTGGGCGTATTTAAGCCTCTGGCGCGGGAGTATCGGAGAAGAGTCGAGCGAACGGGAAACTGAGGTTAAAAAAAAAGCAGGCAGGGTAAGTTCTGTTAATGTTTTTATATTAACTGGTTTTAATTTATTTTATTTTTTTTATCCACAGTTATATCACATTAAGTATCTTTCACGTCGGCTAATTTGCCTTCTTTAAACGTGGCTGATTGTTTTTCCTTAAGCTCCAGCTGACTCGAGGCCTTCTTACCATGGCTTGTTTTAAAAGTGGGGAAACTTAGATCTTTAATCCTTTCCTTATAGAGTAGCGTTTCTAAGTGGGTAGAATCACTAGTCAATGGTAAGCTAGACGGCTAGAGGTTTATTTATTTATTTATTTATTTATTTATTTAAAAAATAGTTTTTGCTAATTAAAAATCAAGCTTTCTTTGTCTACTACTTGTCCTGGCTCAGGTTTCGAGAAAAAAAATGAACGCCAGTGGAAAAGTAAAGCAGAGCCACCAGAAGTCCAATGAGAACATAAAGGTAAGTACAAAGACTTAAGTTGTTTCATCATTTTGACTTTCAAGTGTAATCATTGGTGGTAATCATTTCCCTAGTAGTGCTCAAATATCTCCTATACTACCTTTCTTGGGTGACTGGTATCATTTTAGAGACTCATGAAATTATTTTTTTTCGGGTGAGGGTCAGTATTTTTAAACTCCAAAACCAAAATCTTCCATGTAAATATAGAAGGCCAAGATTGCCCCTTCCGTTTATTGTTGTCTTTATTCCTTTATATTAACATGTATAATCCAGCTGCAGCAGTCTCTGGACATGTAGTCTCAACAGAACAAAGCCATCTACTGTAAGTGGCTTGAAGGTCAGTCCTAAAGGACACTTCAGGGTTGGGTTGTGTGGAAAGGCACTTAAATGTGGTATTTCCTGTAAAGTGGCATTTAAATTCATCATATTGCTGAGCAGCTCGGTGTCTTATTGCTTACACGTAAACAAAATTACATTTGTTTTGGTTTCTACTTTGCTGTTCCTTAAGGAAAAGGCCCACTCACAACTTAATCACCCATTATACAAAACACCCCAGCAGTCTTGTGAAGCTGTGGCCAAACATTAACAAATTGTGTTTTCTGGCTGCTCTGTAATGATCATTGAAGAGAGACTTTCCCACGGCTGTTAAGAATTTGTGCTCTACCCGCGCTTTGCACACCTGTAGGTCTGTTGCACATGGCACTGCTGTTGTGGCACCTCACTTATGCCCTTTCTCCTGGTGACAGTGTAACTAAAGTAAAGCTTGTGAAGTGATGCTAATCCTTGCTGAATAGAAGCTTTGAGAATAAGAACATGGGTTCTGCTACTTTCCCATGTGACTCAATCTTTAGTTTCTAAAGGCTAATCAGGGGGAAGGGGGAGTCTCACCTTCTGTTTTGTTAGCATGTTGTAATCTAATCAGATATACAGTAACGGTTACTTGTGTTGGATGCCTTTCAGAGCCTTTTCACACCTTCTCAAAAGACTATGGGACCTGCCAGACAAACCCTGCAAGTTCGTCAGGTTAACTCAGACCTGGGGAGGTCAGCTCAGGTTTGTAGTAGCTGTCCATCTTGTCCAAATTGGCTTGCATGAGATTAAGACTTGTAGATGTTGAATCACTCATGAAAATTGCATCTTTCAAGCCTAAATTTTGGAAATGATTTGTTTTTTAGGCCGGAAAGGCTGGTCCAAAGCGGAAGAATTGGACGGCTGAGCAAATCAGAGGTTCAAAGAGAGTTAAGATGGAAGTCAAATCCACTCAAACAGGAGCAGCTGATGGGTTAATAGATGGCATGTCCAAAGAAGCATATGAGCTCATGATCAAAGGTAGAGAAGGCAGCACGGTGCGCTAGATGGTCACAAATTTTCACTTTATCTCAAACTCTGATCTAAACCCTCTGCTGCTGTTGTAGAAACTCCACCTTCCACCTACTGGAAAGAGGTAGCAGAGGAGCGACGGAAAGCACTGTACAATGTTCTACAGGAGAATGAGAAGGTGAGTTAATCACTGAGAGTCTGCTAATGTTTAGCTGCAAACTGAGCTGTTCCCACGCTCCCACTGACACGCTTGACCTTTGGCTAATGACCAGCTGGTACTTGAGTAGCTCTGAAGCTCACTGAATTCTCCTCTATATAAAAGGTGCTAATGCTGGCATTTTTCTGCATTCATGGACACTACTTCACTATTCCTGTAACTCTTAAATTGTTTGACTAGATTGCCTGTACAGTATATTAACGTGAAGCAGTTTTCTGGTTTAGACCTCCCATGTGTAGGATGTTGTCTTAACTTGGTGTTTGCATTGTTGTTTCAGCTCCACAAAAGCATAGAGGCCAGAGATGAGCAGCTAACGAAGCTTCAGAGTGAAAACGAAGAGCTGCAGGAGCTCGCTCAACATGTCCAGTACATGGCTGACATGATTGAGGTAGGTATTAAAATTTGACTGCACATTGAGTTGTGGCGAAAAACTAAATCTGTTAATGTTATCAGCTGTGTACCAACATTACTGTGGACAGTTTTGAGAAAGTGGAACTGGAGGGATGCACCAGGAAGCTTAATGTATCGCTAAACAAACTTTAAACGGGTTGGAGTAACACGATATGCATCTGGCTACTTGCTGCAGCATTGCAATTACAATTTTGGACTCTCATTCTGTTTAATCAGTTGGCACAAAGTAGTAACTTGGTGGTAAAAATTTCAGCCTTTTGAGCTAAACCCAATTTCCCTGAGTAGAGTACTTAACCAGGTGGAGAGTTGCATGGATAAACTGGACAGGACTGCACAGATGGGCCTGTTGGTAAATGAAACTTGGTGTACTCTCTTTTTAGAGACTGACTGGGAAATCTCCTGACAATCTGGATGAGCTCAGAGGGATTGCCCTTGATGAAGATGAGGCTGAACATGAAGGCGACGACTTGGCAGATCAGAGTGAAAACGATCCAGACTACAGTTACGGCTCTGCAGAAGAGCTATCAGATGATGAAGAACCAGGACCCTCAGGACTCCAGAACTAATACTGCATGACTTTGACATTTTGACCTGAGTAAGCTTTGACTGCAACGAGTACAAGATGAGCTTTAAAGATGTGTATGTACTCTAAATTCAGCCTGCAATTTTTTTTTAAATGTATTTTTCATCATTGCTTGCTCAGGTTTTTAAGAAACTTAAGGTTCTTAAGAAACTAAGCCAGTGAAGGTTTCCTTTAACAGAAGACCCCTTGATGTGTCATTGGAAGAAAAGTACAGATGTGAACTAAGCTGCTGGCACCTGAAAGACTTCCATATCAGGGTGTCCACAACCATTAGTCTAAAAGAAGTTTACCTTGGGCAGGTGAAACTAAAATGCTTGTCCAACGTGCTTCTTTTGGCACTTGATTTGTCTTGCGGCTCCTGTTGAGCTGACAGTGTTTACAAATTTTACTTGAACACCTGTTTTTCCCTGTTGTGATAAGTTAAATGTGCACTGTTGGTCAGTTATTTACTGCCAGATGTGGCAAAGAGCATGACCCTGAAATGCTGCCTCACTGTAAAATTGTGAAATTGGTGTAAATAAACTTTATATTTTAAATCTTGACACTTATTGAAGCTTGTAGTTCTTGCTGAACCTAAAGGGTGAAGTTGCTATGGAAATGAGAAAATTATAAATGGGTATGCTAGGGACTTGTGGTTGGGGTTTTTTCTTTTTCTCCCTCCCCTCTCTTCACACTAATGTGAAATGTAATTTTGTTTTGTCAGTCCAAAGGTATAATTCACTTGCAGAGTAGACTTGAAGAAAGAACACTCGAATGTGCTGCTAATTTGGGAAGAGCATTTGTGCAACCATTATGCTGCAGTGTTTGCAGTACACACTAAGCTTGTTTGAGGATAAGCTTCGACCAGGGGGGTTTCTAACATATGTCCAGGGGTAGGACTTGGCTCTGCCAAAGACTCCAATCGGTCCACTGGGTGGTGTTGGGCTAAATCTTGAACTTTTATCTGTATTTTGATAAGCGTTGCAGCTTTTCTCACTGATAAAGACCTCCCCGATAGCCTGTCATACTACAGCAAAGTGACACACAAATGACTTCAACTAGAGAGCTCTGTAACACTGCGATAGAAAAAAAAAAACACACACACACGGGGGGTGGCCCACATAGAAGAACAGAACACGCTATATGGCGCACAAAATAAAAAAAGAGTGACACAGCGCGCGCAGACGCTGTCACATCTCAAAACAATAAAAGCCAAAAATACACACAAAAAAAACACCACACTCTTTGTGAAAAGCGTACACCCACACTTTCACAAAAAATAGAGCCGCTGTACACGTAAAACACACAGAGAGAATAGAGATGCACATACACACATTAATTTAAAACAGCAGGACTTAAAAAAACAAAACATTCTATTTAAGACTCAGGCCCCAGCCACGACACTGACAAGGAGAAGCAGAAGAGAATGGATGGACTCCGTGTGGGGAAAGAAAAATCCAGTTTTTAATTATGCAAAAATAAACTTTATTGCAACTTCTTGATGAGCAGAGGAACCACGACGGAGAAGAGCAGTGTGCAACCACATGAATCAGTACTGAAGCTATTGACCAAGAAGATGGATGAAGTTCAGTTTCAGCGGTTATTATTAAAACCTCTAAACGTGCACATTTTGTCACCTTGTATTATATACGGTGCTAAGGAACTGAACAGTCCACCAATTAACTTGTTAAACAGGTCAACAGCGAGTTTGTGAAGAGAGAAAATTAGACACCGAGTGAGTCACTGGACCAAAATACTGTAATGCTGTTCACATCTCGAAAAGGAATTTAAATTTGGACCACGTTTTCAAAAGGCTGCATGAAAGTAAAAAAGAAACAACTTTTAGTATCAACTTCACGCATTTACAGATTATATTACAAAAA